GATCAGCAACTTTCTTGCTAATTCCCCTGGCATTTATCGCCGCACGTTTCATTGTATCCTGGCATTTACTCGTTTGCCCCTGCCATCGGTGCAATTGTGGTTTTTTTAATTGCCAAAAGTCCTTCGTCTGGCCGAATGTAATTTATGCAACGTTGCGTATTTGTCATTGCGATTATGTCTCCATTTTCGCCCAAAGAGCAACGGAACGTGTTTCTGTCACGTGTCCCCCTCGCCCGGCGTCTGGGTTTTAAGCGGATTTATTCAATTATCATTTGTCGAACGCCCCAAAATACAACTGAAATTTGTTACATTGTTTGCGGATCTTTCTGCCTTAAAATCGGATTTATGTATGTGATTTTAAATTCAGAAAATTTACCATGTCCCAGATGCGAATTACTTTGTCCAATTATGAATCGAATCCTAGCACTGCAACGTGTTTTGGCAAATTGCAAGGGCATTAAATCGGTAAATTGCTCCCTGTCCTTCCCCAAAAGTCAATTCAATTAACAGCTTTGATACTGCAAGGAAAAGTCACGAGGGGGAGTGACAATGCAGCCAGATGCAAATCTTTGAACAAATATTTGTCTCGACTTGACGCCGCCCCGTAAGGGGATCTCAATTTTATCTGGAATTATTTCCTCAAGAGGAACTTATTGAAAAAAATATGTAGATGCAATGTAAAGTCCCCCTCTGGGACTGTGTTAAAATTGTCACGTACCACAAAAAGGCGGCAGGATTCCTGCGGGCCGTACTCGAGACATATCAAAAAACAACATAAATTCATAAAAAACAGAATGAAAGGGGAAGCGGTAGATCAACCACAAAGCTAGATCCAGATAATGCAACCTCTAGGGAGGGAAACGGACAATAAGTACCCGAAAATACTTGTTTCGAAACAAAAAGGCAGCGATAAACGTGATTATGACAAGCGATTAGCGACAAGTGACACTCGATTCAATTGAGGGGACAATCCTTACAGAGGAAGTGTGGGTTGTAAGGCGGAAAGGAAGAAACGTGCACTGGGAAAAAAGGGTTTCTTTATATCATTATAATATATTTTGATTTAAGTGTTTGCTCTAATAAATGATTTATACCAACTAAATTTATCTATACTTCCTGCAATCTTAGAAGTAATGCTCCTGATCCTGGCCCAACATGGCGCAGCATTAATTAAGGGGGGATATACATGTAAATCAAAATTTTTTGGGCAAATTTTTTTTTTTGTTTAAAAAATAGTTTAGTACTTAAAGAATATACTGTGTAAGTTTCAATATTGAATTCCAACTTGAAGGGCCTCAAATCAAGTATGCACGCAAGGTATACAAGTGTTAACGTGAGCGCATCAAAAACTTTATACGTCTTTTTCTCAGCTTTTAAGGTTTGCATTTTTACCTATGCTTTGGACACGATTCACAAAAAACTACGTAACATATCGCAGTGAATCAAAAAGTATTATGATCAGTATGAAATTATCTTCTATTTGAACCTACATGGTTGTTATAAAACGGAGTATTACTATTTTTTAAGAGGGTGGGAAGTGAAAACTGATCACCTGAAAATGTCATTTTTTCCTTTAAATCAAAATTTAATTTTTTTGTCTTGATTTCTTTTTAGTTTTTTAGGTTCAAATAGAAGATACAGGTGTAATGAATACAAAAAAATTTAGTTTACGGATTTTGGACAGAAATTACGAGCTCTATCGTGTCCATAGCACGGCAACTCAAAGCTCGAGGCGCTACGGCATATGTTCCATAAATCCGCCATTTTGTAAAATATTGTTTATAACTAATTTTTTTTATCATCTATGATTCTACTTTTAACTATATCCAAAGTTTCTCGACGATTGCTTGACTATTTCTTATAAAAATTCATGAAAAATGGCCAAATTTTGACCGCTTACATGTACATATATCCCACCTTAAGGGATTTTCTTATTTTTTCAAGTGTCCTTACCTTCTTCGTAAACTGCGACTCCGGCGCTCTCGCCACCGCCGCTTACTTCCTGCTTGGGCTGTGGCGAAGACGTTCCCCCGCCTGTTCCTGTTCCCGTTCCCGCTGCGGGCGGCGTCAACGTCGTCGTAGCCGCTTGGGTCTGTGTCGGCGTCAGCACGCGCTGGTTCGAGCCGTGTCCGCCGCCGCGCCGCGTGCTACCTCTTGGACGACCCCGCTTTGTGCCGCGCGGGTGGTGACGTCGCCGCATCGGCGAAATGCCGCTCAGGTCGCCGAGGAAGTCTGCAAAACAAAAAACAGAACGGAAATTTATAGGTGACTCGGTATTGATTAATTGCGGTTGGCGGTGAAACATCGAGAAACATCTGGCCCAATATACTATAAACCGAAAAACAAACATTAAAATTGGAGTTTCGTTACATTTACCACAATTTTATGGCTGGCAACCTAAATGCTTAATTAATGGGGATGGCCCGTCTTTTGCCGGCTGCCTACAGGGGCTTCCTTCTTGGGTTCCCTCAAGAACACTTCTTGAGATCTCGTTCTCTGAGTGAGCCAGCACCCACAATCCGCACCATCGTTATTTGTGCCATGACCATATTCGCGCATTTAACGTGTTACTTTTTATGCCCCGCGAGACAATGGCAGCCACAAACTAGTTCAACTTTTGTCGTGGCCTAGACATGGGCAACTGCCACAGAATATATGATATACGGAAGGGGTATTTCAATATTATAAATCTTAACCCTTAGAGAAATGGGTTTTTAGCGGCAAAAATATATCAATAATATAAATTGTAGTTCAGTTTCCTGAACTGCTCGTCGAAATATAATTTAATTCTAGTAGCTATCTATTAACAGATCCTGTATCCAACCGAACTCAGCGATAGCCTCTAAAGTCTAGGGTTAACGTATATATCACCGACTCTAGTCGCCTTAACTGTAAACTGCATAAATAAAACAGAGACTGAGACTGCTGCGGCAGACAAACAAACAAATAAACAAGAAACAGCGGAAAAAGTAGCAATCAGCGGGCAGACGTACATTGTCAGACAGCAATGTTGCTGTTCCACTGGTCCGTACAGTGCGGTACATAGATATCCCGTCTGGTGCCCGGCGACATCACATCACCTGGCGGCGCTCTGCTATTTTGGTATGCTGTGCACACAAGTGCCAGCAGCATCATCATTGGCCGCGCGATGATCATCGCTGCGAGATGATCGGCACTCATGATCGACATTGTCTAGTCGGTACAGTGATCATGGCCAACACGACGACAGTCGCCAGAGGAATTGGCAACAAGAATCGGCCATGAGAAAGAGAGGCCCCCCTTTAACGATGAGAGGGGTTCAGTTTACTTTTACTATTGCGACCAGAGCGAGGTAGTGCAATATTATTGAACTAAACTCTAGATGCCAGCCACAAGTTTTATCAATAATATTCAATCCAAGGCAATTCTTTGGCTTTTTCGGTAGTTCGTTCTCGGTTTGTATGTAAATATTTCGGTCAAAGCTAGCGGCATTGCAGCAGAACATCAAAAACACTACCAAACAACCAAATTTTAGCTTTATTATTTATCATTATTTAAGCATTATTCAGTTGTCAACAGGGGGGTAGCAAGGATTGCAAGAAAATAACAGGGGAAACGGATATGCTGAGCTTTAAAGTGGCTAGTTTCAAGGAGTCTTGAATGCAATAATTGTGGAAATGACTTCAATTATGTAGTTTAAAATATAATTAGTAAATCCGAATGGCATTAGAAACTTAAATATATTTATAAGTTCTATTAATTATTAATAAAATACTTGGAACTCTTCCTCATTATCAGGTATATTCAATCTTTAATCCATATTTGTTACCAGTGTGATTCCAAGTCGTCTGAAGCACCCTTCCCACCCATCAGAAATTATGGAACATCAAATCCTTTGACACTACCCTCCCTCTAGGCAACCCCATTGAACTTGTGCTTGAGCTTTTGCTATCAATAACCAGTATTGCCTACGCCCCAATTGTATATACAGTTGTAATAAATATTGTTGCTACATTCACTTTGGGTTTTGGCCCTCTCCATATTACCAATTGGCACGAAAGCCAAAGAAGCAACAACAACAAGCACATTGCAGCCGGGAAATATAATACAAAAACACGGGAAGTAACAGAAAATAAGCAGAGGAGGAGAATGGAGCTGGGCAGAAGAGAAATAAGAATCCGGCAGGCATAATCGGATTTTACAAATCATTCATTCAATTATCTAATTGATTTGACTGATGATCATTTGTGAACCTTGATCCTAGCTCTCGGGCCCGGTGCCAAAGTCAATGTGACGCATGTTTGCTACGCCTGATAAACGAAATGAGGTACGGGAATCTCGGAGCCGGAGGCCTCACCTTTGACTGTAATGCGCCGTCCATGACTAAGTGGCTCTTTGCTTCCTTTTCTTTATTATACTTGGGCCCTGGGTTCTTTTCTGCCTTGGCAGATTTGCAAGCTTAGATTACATTTCGCAGTTGCTGCCACTGCCTTCTGCCAGCTACTGTAAGCCATAAAAGTCGAATAAATTGCGATTCTTATCTTTGTGTGAAATTGTTAATTTTTTAACGGATTAGCTAAAGTCTGTTTCGTCCCGGACCGCAACATAAGCAGCCAGAAAATCGTTTAGGGAAAATCTTTTAAACGTAACTTCTACTAAAAAAACTTCATTAATATTTGAGCGTTTCTTATAAGTCATGCAAAACTTATACTTTGATCGACATTTGAATATATTCTAGATCACCCACGTGTAAGTTTTGTCCCAATACTAGTGCCTAGGTTGTCTATAGTCTTTTTCCCTTTAATCACGAAAGCTCTTAGGTTAACGATCGATATAAATTTTTAGGCACTGACTGTAAGTATAAGCAACTTTACAACAATTGAAGCTAACAAATAAAGTCCAAAACAATATTTTTATTATTTTAAACTTGGAAAAATTGAGCTTGGGGAAGTTCTTTTTTGTAGCCTGATTGAATGATTTAAATATTAAGAGACATCTTTAATTTAAGGTCATATTTTCAGTTAATTTGTTTAAGATACTGATGAGGTCATCTCAATTTAATGCAGATACTAATACATTGAATACAATTGCGCCAATGGCCTCGGACCCTGCGTAAAATCACATATAGAAATATTCATATTCGCGGCGGGTCACCGGTTGAGAGAGATAAAGCAGCCGGATCTGGTGGAGGCGCCATCCCTGAGGCGTAAACTTCTTCCGCTTGGGCGGCTTGACCTGCAGGATGTCGTAAATGTGTTCGGGATGATAGCAGTGCGGTGGGAACTGCGGCGTGATCTTGGGCTTCGACAGGCTGAGGATGCGGGGCGAGATCTTGGCCTTGAGGGCGGCTGGGCGGATGGGAAAGCGCAGCTCGGCCCAGAACTTATCTTCGATGTCGGCATTGGGGAAGCAGCACGGCATTTTGGGTGGGTCGAAGGGACGTCCCTTGTCGTGGTGCGGCGGCTGGCCCCAGACGATGACGGGTGAGTACGTGTTTACGGGGTAGACGTACTGGTGCTTCGGCGTCATCTTGCGCTGCAGAGGCGTGGCCAACTTGGCCACATGCTCCTGAAACTCATCCGGGTCGATCGGCTTTGACTTCTTGGCGCAGGGCAGATACTTTTCGGGGCAGGGTAGCGGCTGCTCCTCCACCGGCTGCAGCTCCTTCGGCATGGCATTGGCGGCAGCCCATTGGTAGAATTTGCGCCAATCTGCCTTTGCCATCGGTCCCGGCTTCTGCCATGGCGTCAACACACGAGGCTCCCGGGGGAGCACACGCTTGATCGGCTTTGAGTTCCGCTCGCACCACTCCACCCAGCTGGGCGGGGGCTTCTCCACGGCGATGTCGCTGTCCTTGGTCTCCTCCGGAACGATGCTCATGTTGCTCGCAAGCTACTTTCACTGAAAATTTTGCAAACAACTAAAACGGACTTAAAAGATACTAATAAACCTAAAATTATAAAATTTTATTTGTGTTCCTCCAGCGGTTGAAATAAAATGACTGATATTCTGAAACGAGATCGACTGACGCCTGGACCGGCGTCTACTTGGTCCCAACCTCCGACTGAAATCGGATTTTTAGATTTCCATCGCAGTAGTCAATGAAAAGTTTACTGAGAGAACTAACCCCTTCCAGACGAACCGTCCTATAAATATTTTTAAATTGTAAGAGTGAAAAAGTAAATCTTGTATTTTTCCTAAATGACGCCAGGCCAAAGTTTTGACAATGTCCAGCCGCTTATCAGCTCTCCGGAACTGACCGTTCCCCAGGTACAACGCATCACGGATGTGCGCGAGTTTATGTCCAGTCCAGAGAACTACAATGGCGACATTGATGACCTAAAGGAGCGACTGGGTGCCAAGTCCCAACAATGTCGCGATCTACTTAAAATCCTCGGTGATAGGCTCCAGTTCAAGTTGGACGCGCTCGAAGAGGTCAGGAGGGAGATGTTGGCCCTTAGTTTCGAGATGGACAAGCCAACGGCGGCCCTTCGATTCGTTACTAACCGCGAAAAGATCAAACTTAACTGCTTGGACGAGTCAGAGGACCAGGAATATGAAATTGCCGAGGCCCTGGGATGGTTCAATGTAAAATTGAGCACGGCGAACTGCGAGATCTTGAGCCTGAGGAGCGATGTCGATTATATTACCTATCTGCAGCGCATTTCCCAACTGAACACCAACACTGTGATCAAGTTTTACGAGGTTTCAAACAAATGCAAGGACTAGCATACTGTATAGTATAGAGATTTCCACTAAAAATTGTTTATGTAAACGTTTCATGGAAAACCTTGGCTTCGAAGAATTTTGCGAACGCAATGATAAGATATGCAAATAAATTATTTATCTAAATATAACCCAAACTTTTGGGTTAGACAATGATTTAAAAGATGAGTACAAAACAAATGCAATACAGTTTGAAATCAGCGTTTTTTATTACTACAGGGACAACAAGGGCACCCAATATAGAGATAATATTCAGAGCCCGACCGGGACACAGGCTGGGACAGGTAAATCAAGCGGAGCTGGTGCAGCTGCCACCCTCTTCTAGTGAACTTCTTTCGCGGTGGGGGTGGCACATCCAAGGGACCCAGCGGCCTTCTCGCAATGGGATATATTCGGGGCTTGGACAGATTCATAATGCGTGGTGTGGCCTGGCCCAAGAGGGCGGCCTGGCGAACAGGAAATCGTAGCTGAGACCAGAACTCTGCCTCGAGCTCCTCGTTTAGAAAGCAGCAGGGAACGCGGGGTGGCTTGAAAGGTCTTCCCGGATCGCGATGTGGCGGTTCGCCCCAAGAGACCACAGGGGAGTACGCGGGCGATTTGACTGGCCCATTGTACTTCCCGGTGATCTTTCGGGGCGTGGCCAACTTCTTTATCTTCTCCTCCAGCTCATCTTTGTCCAGACGACGCTTCGGCCAAGCACAAGGCAGGTATTTCGCCAGGCAAGGCTCCTCCTGCCGCTTTGGCGGCTCAGTTTCTCGAGGTCCTGCCCGTAGGAGAGCCCAACTGCAAAAGTTCTTCCACTCCTTTTTGGTCATGGGTCCTGGCTTCTTCCATCGGGTCATATACGACACAAAACAAGGCTTAGGCCGCTTGACCGGCTTCGAGTTACGTTCGCACCATGCCTCCCAGGTTGGTCGTGACTTTGCGCGACAGCTGGAGCTCCGTGTCTTAGATTGCGGTGGGGTGGCCGTTTCTACAGGTTCATTGCGGTCAATTGTAGTCTTAAACTCAAAAATAGACCCATCTCCGCTTGTCATTTTGGCCCAAAATTACACTAACAATTTTGTCAATTTTTTTCAGTTTTATTTTAGGAAAACTCTTTTTAATTTTTTACTGTTTTCTTACGACTACCAGGCTGCCACATCTGAGACTTACTGGTGAGAATCAAATAAGTTCAGCGGAGCCTACTGAAGTTTTCAAGGATACTCTAAGCGGAACAAAGAAGGAAACTTGCTGAGCCGTCGCTTCAAAGAACTAATGTCCCAGGTGATTGTATCAAAATAATCAAGTTAAACGCTGAAGCCATTATAAATGTCTTTAAAAAGACTTTTGATTCAACAAGATTTTGTTATAGGCAAACTCAAATCTTTAGGCTTATTTTCTAAACACGTTTTTATTCTTTTATGTGGTCTATTGTGCAGGTACGAGCGTACTTTCGTAGATTCACACTAAACTACAGTTCTACTAACTCAATGCATAGCTCCAAGCTTGAGTTAATATAACTGTAGTTTAAGACAAATCCTTACGATCTGACCACAAGTCAACACCGCCGCAACTCGGCTAAAACCCGGAAATTTGGCTTGCTCAAATACTCAAGTCGCTGCAAATGACATCGCCACTGCCGAGGAGACATTTTCCTGCGGCAGGGCACTTCCTCCTCGAACAAAATGTATGGCGAGATTTTCTTGCGGGGCTGGGCCAGCCTGCAAGTCTTCATGGTGGGAAAGGCTCTAAGTGCCCTCTGAGAAACAGGGAAACGGATGTTGGCCCAGAACTCTGCCTCGAGATCCTCGTGCTGGAAGCAGCACGGAACCTTTGGTTTCTTCGCGGGTCGGCCCCGTTCCGGACAAGGACATGGTCGTTCGGTCATCCGGGGCCGAAAGGTGAATACCTCCTTTGGTGGTGCAATGTACTTGGAGCGTTGCCAGCGCGGCGTGCTCAATCGCCGCAGGTTCGCCATATGAGAATCGTGATCCTCCGAGCTCAAACTGAATCCTGACCTGAAGGAGGAATACGGTCTAGTTTAAAAGACTTTCTGTTTCTTTTTTGGAAACTCTAATAAGTGGCAAACGACTATTTTTAGAATTCTGATGATAAAGGGACATTTACACGAGGGTACTCAGCCTTTCGTCGGATACCTTCGTGCCAGCGGCGGATGTCACATTTGTCTGATACCGACTGTGGAAATTTGCCCACTCATTCCGGCCCATAGGCCCTGGTTTCTGCCATCGCGTGGGTCCCTGATAGACTGTGGGATAACAGCGGCAACACGAGTATTCCGAGGCCGTTGGCGGGGTTCGACTGCAGCAGCAAGGCATTTTTAGGTTCCAATTCGTAGTGAATATTTGCTTAAAAAATGTTTTCCTTTTTTTTTTTTTTAAATTTTTTCTTATTTTTTAAAATATTAATTTATCGTTCTAAAGGTTTATGCATTTTGTTTTTGTAAACTCTTGGCCTAAAGAGCATGCCATTTATGGATTTATTGTTATCCATTTTTATAAATATATAAAAATTGTTGTCTAAAAAACACAAGCTTACTAAACCTAAAAATATGACTTTCTAAAGAAAGATCAACTATAAGTTTTAGTGTTTTTTTTTTATTAAATGCAGCTGTCATTTTTAATTATTTAAAATTGTTAGGTAACTTTCTACTAGTTAGGTAGTTTGCTTCACGGGAGATGGTATAGAAACTACTATGGAAAGAATACTTTTTTGTGAAAGCATAAACAATAGAATTGCCTAAAAGAAAAGTCAATCTTTACTTAACTTTTTCTTTAAAGGCATTTTCCCCAAAACCCAGCACTGATCGGTGCTTAAAAAATGTAAGAGAAACGAAAGACATTTGTACTCTTTGAGCCCAAACGGCTCAATCACGAGCCCATGGATCCGCGAAGCGATGGAAGCCAGGAGCCTGAGGCAGATGCATCGTGGCGTCGCCCGTGGCGACACGCATTCGAGGTCATAACCCAATTCCTTTCGTGGCCAGTTGGTGGATGGCCAGGCCAACTGTATGCTGCTCCTTCAGCCAATTGAAATGCGGTGCGCATTGCAATCGATCGCACTTTTTGCCTGGCTTTGGATACCCGCTCTTCTGGCCTTTCTAACGCCATCTCCACTATCTTCTGTCCCGGCTGGAGGAGGAGGTGGTCTCTGCTGGCCATGTCGCCCAACTTCATCATCGTCTTTGGCAGTTTGTAGTTACCAGTGTCATGATTTTTCTTTCTTCTTTTTGTTTGGCTTTGCCTCAAGAATTTTAAATTAAAGACCGGCTAAGCACTGGACACTTCCTGGCCGGAACTGCGAGCCCCGAGGATTAGCTGGCAAGGACAAGGACTCACCGAAAGAGTCATCAATCTGGCGACCACAAAGTGCTCATAACATGTGTGAAATTGACACCACAGATGCGGCTCGAACTAACGGAAACGCCAGCAATTTTACGCTACATTGGCTTAATGACCAACAACCCCGCTGGCAGATGGTATAGCCTTCCCTTTTCCCGGTGGAGCCAGCAATAAAAAAGTATATGCCAGTACCCGAAGGAACGACTGACTAAGTGGCGAGAAGTCTGTTCTTTTTTTGGGATCATTAGGGGTGCGCCCAGGCTCCTATTGAGTTCGGTTTCGGTTTCGTTGGTTCCTATCACCAAAGGGAATCTAATTCGATGAAGATTAAGTACAGTAACTAGTTTAGTTAACAGAAATCAAAATTATACTTCAGAATTAGGAAGGAATTTTAATATTAGGACAGCTTTCATTACGTATTTCAATTAGCTATTCCCAAAGCTCTCATATTGTTTACTTTTTTAATTTAATAGACATTTAATATTTATAGCATTTAAATTCCGCGAATGCAATGCAAAAGCCAATGTCTAAATCGGAATCCTTAAGCGGATTCGTTTCATTTTCACATTGCAAATATGATTAACCAATTTGAGTCAAAACCACTTTAATTACAGAGTCTCAATCCGGCTGGCCAACTGCAATTGGTCAAAACGAAGCTGTGCCCGAGCTCCACGGCACGTACTCGCTATGGGCGCTATGGGGGCCAATAAGGTGTAAATTTATGCGCCAGAGCGAGTTGGGCTGAAATCGAGGCATTACCATTAGCAGCCGAGCCCATGCAATTGATTGTTCAGTTCAGTACTTCTGAATGCTCAACGAAACGCACATTTTTCGTATGCCTGCGCTTTTTTCTCCTTTTATAATTAGCTGCTGCGTCTGTGTGAATTTTTGTGGCCAATCAAAGTTTTTGTTCGCAGTTTTGATTTGCTGCCAAGATTCGCAGCGTAATTGTATCTCATGGCTAACTAGTATTCTATGAGATACTTTTTTGCCTCCGTTCCCTGGGAGCCCCGATTTACACACGCATACACACGGGTTTGTTTATCTGTTGAACAAGTGTTTTGGTTTAATTATTTTCATGTCGCACAAGCTCCGCTGACAAAGTGGACAAGGATCTGGTGATCTACGTGTGGCTCACCTAATGAATATTTAATTTGGGGTGGAGTAATGGCATCGCCCAGAGCTTAGCGCTCTTGGCTAAGTGGCAGGCATTATGTTTTGGGTCCATGTGAAAGTTGCACAGATGTGTGGCACGTGTCCCAGTTGAGTGGGGCCAATTAAGAAATTGTTTCACTTGCAGTTACACAAGACAATTAAAACGGGAGTGGGGGAATGCGAAATGCGGAAAAGCGCTGCACGCACTGGGAAATTTGAATGATGGCAAGCTTAAGAAATGTGGAAAATTTCCCCACAACAAAAGCAAAATGTGTGCTGCCGTGTAAACTTTACCTAAACTTTTTTAATATGTAATAATAATTAATTAGACCAATTTTTAGATATTAAAATAAAACTCAAGTTCAGAGTCAATATTTATTTCGGAGCAGGAATCATCAGTCTTCAACATTAGCTATGTTTTGAGACAACATATTCGTACTTGGGAACTTTAAGGTGCAATATTTGTTGAAAGAGTAAAGGGTTTATTTTATCACCACACCCCTTATCTGAACTTTTTATATAAAAATATATACTTGTATCTACCAATTGATCTTTTATTAAAATATTATTTTTAATATTTAATACATATGCTTATTAATCCATAAATGATAAATGGAACTTTAGTAGTGGAACTTTGATAGTGGCACTTTACCATTAAATCTACAAATTATTTTTTTTATAGATTTGGAAAAGAGTTACCCTGGGATTCATGACAATTCCTCATTTTGACCGGCGGAACAATAAACAGCCAATAAATGTCGGTTAACATTACGAAATCAAAACAAAACAAGAGCAACCTGCTCGGATTGGCAATTTATGTAGCCACAACACGTGAGCTCATTGATTAAATTAGCTATGTCTTTTGGCCAAGCCCTGTGCACATAAAATTTTATTTATGAGCCGCAATTCGGTCGGTTTTTTCTTTGCCTCTTTCTTCGACTTTCCTTGCTTTTTCGTGGCATTTTTATGCTAAGCAAAAAACAACCAAAGTCGAAAAAAAATCGAACGTCGAGTGACAAGCGAACCAAACATAATCAACTGCGCCACATTAAATTGGGTTGCGTGCGTTTCCGAGGCTAGAGAAATACTCCAGCAGTAATGACAATTCAGTTTCTTTTGCGAGAAAAAAGAAAGAAATTGAAATTTTTCTCCTTTCCGGGAATCTAGTTTAGTTAAATTTGGCTTATATCCTCTCCCTTTAAAATATTTTACTTCCTGAAACCAATTTCTAATCCTATTACTGTTGGGTTTTTCCCAGTTTAAGCATCACTCCCAGGATTGTTAGGAGTCACAACCCGCACATCTGGTTGTAATGAAAACGTTATCAAGCGACAGACGCGCATTTGCAGTAACGAGATGAAACGGGGACATAGGCAAAATTAGCTGCGTTCGCCGGCGAATTGCGGGCCAATCAGTGAGTGTGCCACAATTTGGCCAAACAAACAAGCAACAAACTGGTCAAGTTAGAGATTCCATCGGAGCTGGTCCCCTCCTCAAGCAACTGTTGCTGCAGCAACTAGCGCTAGCAACTTGCAACGTGCAACCTGCGATCTGCTGAGCCTGCACTTGTCTCGATTTCACATCAGTTTTTTTTCCTATGTTTGCTGTTACGGCAGTTTTTGCCCGTTGCCTACTTTTCAACGTCTTGTACTTTCGATTGGTTAATTGTTAAACAAATTTGAAATGTTTCTGCTTTTGCAGTCGCCCCGACTAATCCCCTCCGCGAATGCAAATCGCATGAGCTAACAAGCGGCAATCGTTGCACATCCCACATGCAATTGGCAACTCATAACAGCAAACATGCTTTCGGTCTGAGGCATGCTTGTAGCAAGTTGGTAGACCACATTTTCGGCTGCCTCCATATTGCTGGTGATTACCAAATATAATTTGAGTTATTAATCATTATAAAACTGATCGGTTTGTTGGGGGGAGAAATATATAAATACATATACTATCTGTTCCGAGTTTAAGTCATGTCTCACTGCTACCCACATTTTTCTGGGTATGCCGAGCTGCTGACTGCAGCGATCAGCAGGGGAAGTAGCGGTGTGGCGAACAAATAAATTATAGAAAGACTGATGGAAGGTTAACAGGGTAGCTGAGAAAGGGTACTCACTCATTGACTCGTTTTGACCCATCAGAGTGGGACTGTCGCCATCCACCACGAGAGCCTCGTTATCTGAATCATTGTCCATATGCTGGACACTGGTGGCTCCGGGCACATAGGTCTCCTGGCTAAGGGTCGGATGGTTGCTATCCGTGCCCACACTGGAGGCTGAGGATTGGATGCCCACGTCGATGAGGTCCTCATCCGGGTCCGGCTTGAGGCGCTTGGCCGCCGAACTGCAGCTGGCCACATCGTCGTCGAGATCTCGTAGAGTCGCAGTGGCCGCCGGAGTGGTGGTGCCACCCATATTTACATCCTAAGACAATAAAAGCAAATATCATAAAAAGTTATACCTTAATTTCCAAATGTAACAATCAAATCAATTAGCATTTTAATGGCCAGCGGAAGTGAGATACATATTCTTCTACAGCGACTGTTTATCGCTTGTATCTGCTTGCCGGTCCCCCTCGCACCGTTTATAATTTATGCCAAGTTATCTCTATCCCTCCTTATGGTATGTAGCACTAAAATCATTCATGCCAAACTTTAACAAAACTAAGACTTGAGTTATGGGCTGGTCAAGCGGAGGTCGGTGCTAAGAATGGGACACGCTCAGGGGTTGGACGAGGGCCTCTGGTAATTGCCATGCTTGAGGAAATTGCTCGGAAGTAGGGTAAAGAGTTTTGCATACATTTTACCCAGATTTTGATAGCCAATTGCTGGGAAAACAGTAGCAATTTTCCTACATGTACCCTGCTACTAGTTAAATCGTTTACAGATTAATGGTATTACATTGTTAAAGCTTAGAGCAAGATGGTTAAGCGTTGTGATAGTTTAATTTTAAATTAAAAGAAGAGTTCTGCTTTGGTATGAATTATGTATAATATATCGCAAGGTAAAACCTAATTATATTCTGAATATACCA